GTGCGGGAAAACATAACTTTGCGCACTGATTAGGAAAACTACTATTATCTTCATTGTCCAAGAGAATGCTATTTTGTCGTGGTTTGTATACCACTAGCAGCTTCCTTGTCGCGTCGGAAAAAAATACTGAATCCAAATTTCTTTCGGCAAGGCTGTGTGCTATTGAGCCCAATGTAGTGCGAGAAATTGTGCTCAGTTGGTAGTCGAAGTACTCCTATTCGTCGACGACACCTCAAACCTGTCGCAAGTATATGCTTTTCACTTATTATTGGCGTAGTGGCGTGCCATGGAAATTTGACAGGTTGACCCTCGTATAATAATGACATTTGATGACAAAATATTTTTCAAATTTCAGGACTATGAAACAGAAAGCCGAGTTGCCAGAATGTGTAAAGTGTAAAATATCTGAGTAAATTCAAATAGTAAAATTATTTAATTGGAAGAGTTGTGGCGAGCTTTTATCAAACAATGTTCTGAGATTTTTCCGTCACGATATTCTTCTTTTTCCTGGTCCTCTCTATCCAAATATCTTGCAGGATCGTATTGTAACAAAACCTTATCTTTTTGAAAGAGTTGTAAGGCATGGGAGGGTGGGTAAGATCTCGACAATTTTTACATAAGGCCATTTTTTGAGAAAGTGGTAATATACTTAAGCCTACATTTTCAGTTAGATAACCTCAACTATAGGTTACTAAAATGATGTATTAGAGAACCAATTCTGTAAAGCGTTTTCTTTAAAAATAATCTTGTATGTTGCCTTGCTTGAGTCTAATACCTCTCCATCAGAAGGGAGACATTGGAGCAAAATAGGGGAGATTTTGGACATGAGCAAAAACATGGTGCATTTAATAAAAATAGTTTATTTCAAGGTAAAGGTAAAATATTATATTTCGCCAAGTAATTATTTTGAAAAATAACTAGAACAGATAAAAGATATAAATTCCTACATTCTAATTAAATTGAATGGAATTCTTGAAAATTTAAAGAATAGAAAAAAATAAAAACACAAATAAAAAAATCATCACTGCAAACCAAATTACGTCAAATCTAAATTGAAATAAATCATGTGTCTAAATCTCTTTCTTCTATCATTAATGGGAGATGGAAGTGAAGAAGTAATGTCGTAAAAAGGAACCAAAGCTTAATCATCTTTAAGAACTGTGAATCTATTTGATACAACGTGACGTTCTAAGAAGTTCACTTCATATCAATCAACTCTTCTTATAATTTTCGCTGCCTAATTTCTGACACTACTTTTACCGTAAACTTTGTCGTTATAGAACATGCTTCTGGAAGTTCTTTGTAATCAAAATTTTTCTCGTCGTTGATGAAAATTAATTAATCTTCTGATAAATTATCTTTACATTCAATTCGATCCTCCTCCATATCCCTAATCGCTGTCTTCGGGAGTGTCAGTGGCAATCATGCATCTACCATCTATGGCGCAGGATAGTTTTTTGATGTTGATGGTTGTAGCTCTCTCTAGGTTGCCTTTTTGATGTGGATAGTTAGTTGCGGCTCTGGATATGAATAATTATTATAGATGGTGGGAGCCGGTTGATCCATTACGTGAGAGGAGGAAAAGTCTTCTTCTTTGAAGATGTTTCGATAAAATGGCATTATTTCAGTGCATCTGGAACCTGATTTTTTTGTTTGTTGGTGCAGCGGTTCTAACCCAAGCTTGTTAACATATCACAAGCAAATCCTAGAGCACCACATCCCGAAACACGTTGCATCATTCTCTTGGCGTCATAGCGTATGCGGGGAAACGTGATAACATGAGTGGTTCAAAAAATATTAAATTTTACCTCATCTAAATTATAAATTTGCATGAGTTCTAGAATTCGTCTGAGCATATTCATAAACTAATCGCCTTGTTGCGTTTGGCTCCAGACCGTAAAATATAGAGGAACACTTCAGTGGATATTTCTCTTAAGCGTTTTTCATCTGCATAGAAAATACTTATGACGTTATAAAATTTGGTGTAACATAACTTTTTCGAGACCTTTTTCTTGGACTTGTCTGACATAGTTCAACCCGGTTACCAACACTGGATTTCTTTACTCCATTTTTTCCTATCTGGATAGGACATGTTATTGTCAATCACATCAACTAGCTTGTTTCATGGAATCAAGTCAGAACTCCCTGTCAGTCTTTTTCTATGTTCTTATTGTTATGTTCTTGCTGAACTGAAATGGAATATAATAATATGTTTCAACCATCATGTTGCCACAAGTTTTTGTTGCTGTTTTTCTTTTTGAAGGGAAGCTATGGACAACAAGGGGAGATCCTGTGCAGCCTCTCCCCTTGTGCACTTTATCGGATTAGCTTAAAAATATCAAAACCTCCCATTGGTATTTTCGTTCTATGAGAACATAACTTTATCGGTTAACCTTGCTTTCTACTCTGACACAAAAAGTTAAACAAATAACATTAAAATAAACAATAATAGAATACTTACCTCGCTTCTTTGAAATATTAGATCAACAATGCCAAAAATACAAAATTCCCATGAAAAGCTTTTTAAAAAAAAAAAATATTTCACAAAAACAATCTGATCTGTGCCGGTTGACCATTCTGGAGATACTGTTGGCACCTTGTCGTGATAGATCAGAAAGCCGCAAGAGGCGGGAAATATTGGCGTGTCCATTGTCTCCCAGAGTCCCGATCCTATCCACCCTCCCCTTATAGTTTTGTCAAAGTAATAGTTCAAATTCAGATCCGTTTTTAGTCCGTCTTATTCAGCTTCCACCATTTCACTTGAATTAGATACCTTCTCAGATTCAGACAACATTTCTGAATCCGATTCGGAATCGGATTCACCAAGAGAAATAATGAAAGGAGGAATATTTTTGAAAGGTAAGTCTCCCATGTATTTTGTCCAGTCTTCTGAAATAAGTCTGTCACAATGTCTACAAAAATTCGTCCACATGTCTGAGGTACATTTTGAAAGAGACTCACGCCATACCCTCGCAACCCTATCCGTGGATGGTGGCTGCGAAGTTATAGTTTTATTATAGAAGTTCTTACAAAACCCTCATGCCATTTCAATAGGATTATATTGGCAATGAGAAGGAGGTAATCTAAGAACTTCGTGTCCGTGGCTTTTCAAAATGTCGTCAATTTTGTATTGTTTTGGTCTATTCCGAAATGGTTGAGTTAGGTCCCATAGTTGTTTTTTGGTCATTTTTGTGTCGAAGTCTACGTTATGTTTAACCAACCATTCCTGCATTTTGTCTTTCTTTGAAGAGAATGAAGGTGGTTTATCCTTCTGCTCTGAATGATATGGAGCGTTGTCTCCCAGAGAAGACACATTTCTCTTCAAATAAATTCAATGCAGGAATTAGTTGATCAACGACCCATTTTTGGAAGATGTCCGCGTTCATGGTATTGTGGTAGTCTCTGTCATTGTTTCTTGAATCTAGAAAAAAATCGCACCCATCTGAAAACCCAGAACTACTCCCCGCATGCAAAATAGTGAAACGTTTCCCCTCTGACTTAATTTTGGATGGGTTGCTTTTCATATCAGATTCGTGTATCCATCGACGAACTTGAGATCCGTTTTGGTAGATCCAAGTTTCATCTAAATACACGAATCTGATATTTTCGTTTGAATGTTTATATTGGAGGCATTTCCGCAAAAATGTAATTTTGGCAGCAAGAACATGTTTCTGCTCAAATAAAATTTTGCGTCCATTTACTAATTTAAATTTATATCCCATAGATTTTAAAATTTTATATAAACTTGTTTGCCCTCCCTTAAATTCCAAATTTTGTCAGTAATGTTTGTAATGTAAAATATTCATTTTTAGAATTGTATTTCCAAATTTGTCGTTGTAAATCTTCTTTAAACATTCGGTCCATAATAGTCTCTGTCTTTTTCGGTCGGCCTAAAGGTTTTTTGATTGTATATTGTCCAGTCAAAATTCTTTGAATAGTCCTGGTTCCCACCTAAAATTTAAGGAAAATGTTGGTTGGGTAAGAAATGGCTTCACATCTACATTTAAGTTATACCTACCTCAAATATATCTGCAAGTTGGGCTTCAATTGTTCCCTGGAGAGCCTCTGGTTTATTTTTTTTTAAATAACCATGACATTTTAATATTTCCCTTTTTTTTTCTTCTGAAATTATTTTCGGCATCTTCAATACGAAAGAAATTTGACAATGCCGAATTTTAAAAAATGTCATTAGATTTTGCAGGTACGCAAAATAGTTAGGTACCTACCGTTTATAATATAGCATTATTGAAAAATGCATTGAAAAATGCATTGAAAAATGTGTCAAATTTGATTTGCCAGATAGGCCAGAAAATTTTAATACCGCGGCACTTACGAAATTATGTAAACCACACTTAAAACTGTCTGGAATTTGACATATACTGTCATTATTATACGAGGGTCAACCTGCCAAATTTCCATGTCACGCCACTACGCCAATAATAAGTGAAAAAGGTATACGTGTCAACATAGTTTACAGAGCGATAGGTACCCAAAGCGAAGGAAAAAACTGTAAATATCTGTTTCTTACGATACATATAGGTCGATTTTAAACAAGCCAACAAAAAATTGTGCAGAAAAATTCCCTCAAATAAAAAGGTGATGCGGAGCTTTTGAATTATATAGATACATTCGTATTCGTATTTCCACGCTATGTGATTTTAGATTTACATAACTGCCCGGTGGTAGCGTGGAAAAAACATTCAGCAAGAGTGCTGAAATGTGTAGCTTTCTACACGCTTTATTTGAAACTAGATACAATTTATCGATTACATACTCAGTAATCAAAAATTTTTAAACTGATACCACTGATACCGACCGAGAACAACAATTCCATTCAACCACATAATGAAATATCAATAGTCAACATTAAAGTACCAAGTACCTCTTATTCTTTTACAATTTCTTAAATCGTCTTTAAACCATTTCACAATTTTATACGGATTCAACTATATTACCGTTGCAAGTCTGGTACATATCTTGATTTATTTATTCTTTTCCAGTGTTGTCACATCCGTATCAGTCGTCATGGACACCGGAAATAAAAAGAACACCATCTTCACCGACGCTGTTGGTAAGCCTCAACCGAAACCAGCCAACCCTTCGGAATTAGCCAGTCCCATAGAGCTTCTCAATCCTGATAGATATGAATTTTACACGTTCGATGACAATGGAGATTTAGTCAAAAGACTAATGTCCTTGGAAGAAATCAAAAGTATCATTGCTACCGGAGATAGTGATGCACTAGACTTGGACTCCTTTACGTCACAAGGCTTTTTGCCAGAAAAGCGCGTGAGTGATGTAGTTAATAACGTACAAAGTGTCCTTAAAGAAGAAATGGAAATTCTCAAAGATCCTATATCGAAACCTATATTTGATACTCCCGATGTTAGTGACTCTTGGAGCATGATATTACCTGCTGTTTTTGGAAATTCGGGTGAAGATATTAAACCGGAAAAACCTGCTGGATATGTTACTCCTGACACAATTATGATCGAACCCAATTTCCAGTCGACATCTGGACCTCAGAAGGTCGATTTAATTCTGAGTAGCACCAAAAAACCATCTGTAACATCCACAACAAAAAGACCTCTTGCCAGCATATCAACGGCATCCTCAATACACATATCACAACCAGTTTATTACAGCAGCCCCTTAACAACAAAAACCACCCCTTCAACATCAACCGCACCTTCAATTAATGTAGAAATATTTTCAAATAGCATTTCAACACCTAGCACAGAAAAAAATCAGGAAGATGAAGAAGTCCCTACCAGAATTACAAATTTCTCATCAATCACGAACCCACCTCTAGTCCGCAATGTTACTCGACCTGCCACAACCTTGTCAACAAGCACTGGAACAGAAACTAGTTCTTCAACCCAAAAAATAAGTTCCATAACCCAGGAAATCCAAAGTTCAAGTCTAAAACCACTAACAAAATGGACCAGCACTAGTTCTAAACCTGGTTCCACGCAATCGAGCACGACTCAATGGACTAATACCAGTTTTGCCACCTCAGGTGCTGTCAGTTCAGTAAAACCTCCACCAAATATATTTGGTTTTCCACCATTCACTCATGTAAAATCAACAACTCCAATCCAACTAAGTGCAGCCAAGCCGACTCTGTCAACTCATCCTAATATATTTGGTTTTCCTGTTAAAGTAGAACAAATGAATAATCCCACAATCACGGTGTCTTCGTCTACCACGCTACCATCAAAAACTTCGACCATATTTTCATCAACTCCTTCGTCCCAACCAATAACTGCCAAGCCGACTAGGTCACCTCATCCTAATATATTTGGTTTTCCTGTTAAAGTAGAACAGAAGACTGATCCCACAACAATATTAGCATCTTCATCAACTTCGCAACCAACAAAAACATCGACGATATTTTCATCATCTACATTACCGACAATATCTTCATCAGCTGCAACCTCTTCAGTTCCAATCACATCGTCAACAATAAACACCAGTGCATCATTGATAAAAATTACACCAGAACTTAGTATCACTAGTACAGTTGGTAATGTACAACCTAGTTCCTTAGAAACAAAGAATCAAACCGATGTTACAGGAAAACCAATTGAAAAAGTGGTGATATCGAGTACTAGCACCCCGCTAAAATTGACGACTAGTGAAACTTACTCTCCTTCGACTTGGAGACCAAGTCCTGAAGATGCCCACATTTTCAACATATTCAAAGAAGTTTTGGCGGAAAGCACGTCAACTGAAACTGCCAGAAATGAATCAAAAACTCCCTCTCCAAGCACAGAATATTTTACCACTGACAGTACAACTATAAATGATGCAATAACTTTTGAATCAAACAAAATCCTTGCAACCAACCTTGATGATGATTTAAGTACTTTGCCAACCGAACAAAAATTATCTACTAGCTTAGAATATGATAATGATCCAGCTACAACAAAACTACCAACATTATTGAATGCTTTAAATGACAAACAAAAAGTATCAGCATCCGAACTACTAGACCAACTACTGTTCTCTACCAATATTTATGAGATAAATACCGAGTTAGCGTCACCGAAGCCTTATATTCCAGATACAGATCAGAGATTTGATAATAGTAACTCTAAAACAACTTTGCCTGTTCAAGAACTGGATCAGCAATCTACAACAACGGATCAAGATTTTATATCCTATCCCCCAACAACTGATATCACTCTAATTCAAAGTATTGAGCAGTTATTATCACAAGCAGTTGGGGATGTTCAGACTGTTCTAAATCAAACTACAGAAGGTGAAAATTATGGTAAAGAAGCTGAAACATCTGTAACAGCTGAGCAGTTAGATATTATGTCTACAACAGAAGGTGGTCCTAGTGAATCTACAGAAACGTTCGCAACAAATATTAATTTAGGCAACTCAGTTGAAGCTTTATTATCACAAGTGAATGATGCAGCCGCATTAAATAAAATAATTTTAACTGAAAAACCGCATGTCGATGTTACTTATAGAAAAGTAGAAGAACATAAATCCACAGCTTCTGTGGTGTCTACTACACAAACTCCTACAGTATCATCAATATCGACAGAAGACTCAGTAGATACCGAACAATTCAAATCAACACTTGCTGAGCGAGAAGAAGCAGAACAAGAGGCAACTACTTTTTATTATGTAGTTAAAAGGAAATCACAAGCCACGTCTGAAATTCCTTATTTAATTAATATTACATTATTAGGTTCAGAGCCCATAAGGAATTTAAGCAAACCAGCGAAGGCTGATTTGAGCTTAGAACAAGAACTATTAGCAGCAGAATTAAAAAATTTGACTTTAATCGAAGCAAACAAAACGTCAGAAGCCAGTGAAGTCATAAAAGAAAGTGAAACTAAAATCGTGTTAGTTAGTTCAACATCAGCAACGACGATTGAATCAACGGAAGCCTCAATTGGTACTTTTACAAAGCCTCCTGATAGCTCCACAATTGTTGCTGAAGAAGAAACAACAACGGATATTGACACTTTGAGTACCACGCAGTTCGAAAGTGTAACTGGTGACAATCATTTATTTTCAACAGATAAAGAAAGTACCACTACGGATATTGTAACGACTCAAAATTTTGAAAATGAATCTACTAAAAATGCTCCTGCACTAACTACTGAAAATGTTCCTACTAGATCCACTACCATTCGGTCAGTACCTAAACCATCCATTGTAATATCCATCAATGAAAATAATACTTTGGTGAGCGAAAATGGAAAATTAGTAGCGAACAAAACGATAGCTACAACTTCTGTAGCTCCAACCAAAGCAGCAGCAAAAAAAAATAGCACTTTATCATCATTAAAGCAGCAACAAAAAAATTCAACCCAAGACCAAACATGGACCTTAGTATCAACAGTTGCTCCTCAACAAGCTTCTCAGCAACATATTCCACCACCAACAATTCCTTATCCAGAAGTACTGGAAACTCCAGTTCAAGTTGATTTAGTTCCAAAACCAATGCAAGGATTCGGACTGGAAGACACCACATCAGCTTTAGAAGTCGACGTTCATCAATTTGCCAATTTATGCAATGAGTTGGCGTTTGGATTCTGGAAAACTGTTACTACAGGATTAAGTTCTGCTAGAAGCCTTTTCGTATCACCATTTGCCGCAACATCAATATTAGCAATGGTGTTTTTAGGAGCTAAAGGTGCTACTTCAGAGGAAATGAATGAAATTCTCAAATTAGATGATATGGTCACTTTCAATCCTCATCTGATATTTAAAAGTGTTACTGAGTCAGTTGTAGCTGAACCCAATTCAGGAATAGCAACCACTGCTATGATAAGAGAGCTATTTAGTGATAGAAGTAAAGGAAAGCTGCTAGATTTTTACAAAAACAGAGTGAGGGCGTTTTATGATGGATTTGTAGAAGAAGTGAGCTACAGGGAGATTGGAGATATAATACGGCGGAGATCGAATCTTTTGGTTAAAAAATATACAAATGGTAAATATACGCAGTTTTTCAATGATGCCTCCATTGTGCCAAGATCGCCTTTGAGTGGAATCGGTATAAACATATTTGAGGTAAGAATATTTATTTGCATGTTAAATAAATTATTTCATTTATTTTTTTTTAGACTGACTGTTCAAATACATCCTCTGAAGGCAGAGATGGAGAAATTCATTTTGTAGTATTTCCTTCAATAAAGCAACGTCGCCTTATTCCTATTCCAGCTGTAGTATATAGGTCTGGATTCTTAGCTGGCTATGAACCAAGCTTAGACGCTACAGCAGTATCTTTAGGAAACAAAGAGCAAATAATCAGCACTATTTTAGTGATACCTGGACAACAAGGTATTGCTGCTCCTGGTGATGGACTTGCAAGGTTGGAGAAGAGGCTTGTTGAAAGTTCTTTCAAAAAAGGTAAGGTTTAATGTTTTAAATAATTCCCATTTATACCAAGTAGGTACCATATAGAAAACGATACGGCCAGAAAGCTACTATCGTGATACTAAGAACTTTTTTCAGGTGCTTGGTCCAGATTACTCCGCTCTCTAATCCCCCGTTCAGGCTTAGAAGTTCAAATTCCCAGATTCTCACATCGTTCAGTGATCAACACAACAAATACACTGCAAAGAATGGGACTGCACGAACTATTCAGTCCAGTCAGTGCGGATCTTAGAGGTCTGAATGGAGTAGCCAATGAGCTGCATCTATCTGACGTTTTACAAATTAACAAATTTGCAACTTGTGGAGAGAAACGGCAGGATGAAGTTCAGCATTCGGAAGTGTACCCAGCTACCACAATGAGAGCCAGGTAAAAATACATACTTATCTATACCAAATTCAAAATTCTAGAGGGACATAAATCCCAAAATATATTTTTATTAGGATTTTAAAAATCGTTTGTGGATTTTAAAATGGCAGCAAAAGATTTTTTAATGTTTTTTTTTTTTTTTTTTTATTTGTCAAACATTGTGTTTATTACATTACAATCTAGTCAGTAAGACTAATTAGCAATTTTGTTTTAACCTAATTTACTATAAAGTTTACAATTCTTGAGGTTCACTCAACAGTTTTCCCCACTTTCCTTAAACTGTAAATCACAATTTTGATGTGTTTATAGCACTATTTTGTTGTGTTTTTCAATTTCAGTTCACTAGCTCGAACGGCTTCACCCTTCTCAGTCTTCTAACTAGCTCAGTATTGTCTAGGAGCTCAATCACTTCCACATTCACATGTCGATGTAGTCTATCTTCATGGCTTTTTGCGTACTTTCTTATAATCTCTGTTAGAGTATCAATTCCTAGTTCCCGATGTAGATCACTATTTCGAACGTACCAAGGTGCATTAACAATGTTTCTTAGTACTTTATTTTGGAATCTTTGAATAACTTGTATCTTACTATCTTTAGTGCAACCCCAAAGTTGAATTCCATATGCCCATACTGGTTTCAGTATTTGCCTATAAAGTAGTAACTTGTTATGTATGGTTAAATTGGACGTCCTTCCAATTAACCAGTACATTTTTCTATACCTACTTAAATTCAAGCTCTTGCCTTTTTTTCTTAACATGTGCTTTCCAGCGCAATTTCGCATCAAGAGTCATACCAAGATATTTAGCTTGATTTGAATATGGTATAGGGGTGTCATTAATTGTGATTTGTATGTGATTTACGTTTTTGTTTGTAAAATCAACGTGAATTGATTTGGTTTCAATCAATTTTATTCGCCATTTTTTGGTCCAATTTTGAACTTCACTGACAGCGTTCTGCAGTTTTTCTGTTGATTGTTCAATACTTTTTTCCACTGTAATTAAACCAGTATCGTCGGCGAATGTTGCTGAATGACAATTTTCTGGTTTTGGGATGTCGCATGTAAATAATAAATATAAGTAGGGACCTAGCACGCTACCCTGAGGTACACCTGCTTTTATTTTTCGTAAATTTGACTCAAAATCTTCATGTTTGACTCTGAAATGTTTATCACACATATAGGATTCCAAAATATCAGAATATTGTTTTGGCAGAAACAGCTTTAGTTTATATTTTATGCCAAACTTTGTCAAATGCTTGCGCTACATCGAGGAAAACTGCGGAACAGACTTTTCCCTCTTCCAGCGATTTTTCTATTAAATTCGTTATTCTGTGTACTTGGTCGATCGTAGAGTGCTTGTCGCGGAATCCAAATTGAGGCGTTGGAATGATTTCCTGTCTTTCTATGATCGGTTTTATTCTCTTTAGCAGTATCTTTTCATAAAGCTTAGATAAAACGGGCAATAATGATATTGGCCTATAAGATGACACATCATGAGGTGGTTTTCCGAGTTTTGGTATCATGATAACTTCTGCAACTTTCCAAAGTTTAGGTACGTATTTAAGCCTAAAGGACGCATAGAAAAGGTTGCATAATTTCACAATAGCTTTCCTGGGGAGTTGTTTTATTACTTCCCCAGTAATTAGGTCATATCCTGGAGCTTTTTTCGGACTGATATTTTGTTTGATCCCTGTTAATATTTCTCTTAGTGAAGTAGGCTTAATGTTGCCTTCTTCTTGATAAGGTTCATTCCAGGGAAGATTTTCATCCTGTGCTTCGTTAGGCTGGAATGTCTTTTCTAAATGACTTGCAAAAAGTTCTACTTTTTCTTCGTTACTCCTTGCCCATTGCTGATTTGAATTTCTTATGGGTGGAATTTGGGTAACTGGTCTTTTAAGGCCTTTAGTTGCTTTCCAAAGAGAATAATCAGTGCTTTTGTCGCCGGTGAGTTCACTAAGGTAATTGTTAATAGAGTCATTTTTGATTTCTTGAATTTCTCGCCTTATGCGCTGCGTCACTTTTCCTGTGATCCAGAAAAAATTGTAGCTGACCTTTAAAAGAAAGGGTTCAAGGCCCTAGAAGCCTCCAACAAACTTAAGTGGAGAACAAAACAACCACTAAACATGTTTATGATAACATTTAGCCATGATGAAGACATCAACAAAATTTTCGAAATTCCCAAAATACTTGGAACTCAAGTGGAAATGAAAGCACTAAAAACTTCCAAATTAGTCCCTCAATGCAAAAAATGTCAATCTTATGGACATACTCAAAAATATTGCGCTAAAGAACCACGATGTGAGATGTACAGGAAAACATCTCACTGTAGACTGTTCGAAACCAAAAGATTCTGAGCCAAAAGGCGTCCACTGCCGCGAGAAACACCCAGCTAACTATAGGGGGTGCATTGTAGCTAAAGAAATACAAAAATTAAGGAATAACCCGAAAAGGCCAACTCCCACTCCACAAGCAAGTACAAATGGTCACAGCCAACAACCAAGAAACGCAGCTACGCCAAACTCTGCGACAAGGACTTACAGCCAAGCAGTAGCATCAGTTCCTGCCACTGTTAGTGGCAACTCTATTAACCAAAGCACTATGAAACAAACATTGCAATTGATTTTGGAAAAATTAAACAAACTTGATGAGCGATTAACTAAACTGGAAAATAGCAATAATGGCGCTATCATCAATCGTCAAAATGGTCAGTAACCTTAGAATTTTAGCTTGGAATGCCAATGGGCTCTTTCAGCATCAGCAAGAGTTGCAAGTTATACTAGATATACAAAATATTGACATTTGCCTCATATCAGAAACGCATTTTACAAATCAATTCTATATTAAATTTAAAATTCATCCTAGCAATACAGCACATGGAGGAAGCGCTGTCATAATTAAAGAAAACATATCTCACATTGAAGAGACGGAATACAAAACAATTGAAATTCAAGCTACAGCAGTAAGTGTAAAAACCAAAACATATACACTATCCATATCTGCTGCCTATATACCACCAAGGCATTTATTGAAGAAAAATCAATATCTTAGAAAGTTGGGAAATCGATTTATGGTTGGGGGTGACTTTAATGCAAAAAATACCTACTGGGGTTCCAGACTAACCAATTCCAAGGGGAAGGAACTTCTGCAAGCTATTAATGAATATCAATGCCAGCCCCTATCCACAGGTAGGCCAACATATTATCCAACCGATCCTGGAAAAATTCCCGATCTAATCGATTTTTTTCTATATATATATCTCCAAATTTTCTGGAGATAGAAGAAAGTTATGATTTACACTCAGATCACTCACCAATTATCCTAACTCTGAGTGAATATATAATTAAGAAAAAAGCACCTATCTCATTAGTTAATAAACTGACGGACTGGGCTAGTTTTAAACAAAGTCTGTCGGAAAAGATAAACTTATCAGTACCGATGCGAACGCCACAACAAATTGATGAAGAAGTCGATTGTTTTATCGTTAATATTCAACAAGCAGCTTGGGAAAACAGTCCCAAATTAAAAAGAATTTTTAAGGGAAAAAACTACCCAAAAGAAATTAGAGATCTTATTATAGAAAAAAGGAAACTAAGAAGAAAATGGCAGCAAAGTCGAGATCCCCATGACAAAACAATTATTTTTTAATGTGCGACGCCTATAGTTATAAGCATGCGGTACTTTAGTCTTTGGAAGAACGAGAACTTCTATACTTATTTTCTAAAATTTTTGATGTAATATTTACCTAGATACTAGATATTTAGGTACTCTAAAATGTACATTAGGTGAATAGAAACATGGATGAAAAATCATTATTACAAACTAAAAAAATACATATTTGACAAATTTATTATTCATTTCTCAGAATCACACAGGGCATGATAAATAAATGCATATTAAATTATATCTAGCTGAAACAATTTACCTGAGATTAGCCTAAAAGTAACTTGATACAATGTATTTTCAACAATAAATGGAGCTTTTGCTATCTTTAATTTACCACCTTCAAAGAAAGCAGTTTCTCGATAGTAAAAGTATTTTCTTATCCATAGAAATTGAAGCATTTGTTTTAACTTCAACCTTCTGGTCAAACCGAATGCTTTTACTTCATAGTATCTGCTTGTAGCAAATACTTCAAAATTATTCATACTACCCATGATGCTATTTAAACTTTAGATTTAAACCTATCACTTCCAAATTTGATCTGTAACTGTACTGTTATTGCTTTCTAATGTCGTTTGTAGAATAGTTATTTGTTTCACTAGGCAGAAAAGTACAAGATTTAATGCCGCGGCTGGTGTTTCATAGCGGAGGCGTAGCCTAGCGGAGGCGTAGCCGAGGCTAGGAAACCTAGCCTCGGTAGCCTCGGCATTAAATCTGCTTTTCTGCCATGTAAAACATATAATTTTTTCTCCGAATGTTCAAATTCACACATGGACGTGTTTTTTATATTTATTTCATTCATTATTATTATCCAAATAATTAAATTATTTTGACAATTGTCATTGTCAACATCAATTTCAAATACAAAATTGAGTGAAATTATTACCTGGAACGTTGTAACACTGTCACTTTTAATGCCTAGGCAGAAAAAGTCCACTTTTACTGCCTAGGCAGTAAAAATACAACTTTTGATCCTGTCAAGTGTCATTAAAAAGCCGCTTTTACTTTCATTCGGAGAAAAAAAATATTGTATGACATTTGTGTTTGAAGTATTTTAAGTGCATGTGAAACTTTCGCATGTGTGCCTTAAAAATGAACTCTTTCACTTATCTCATAAATAACTATAATGAGAACCCATAAAAAAAGAAGATAACTGACAAGTTCGTCTGAGGTCTTTAGAAAAGGTTCCATATTATTCACTAATATTCTCTGTACAGATCCGCCCGACGTCTCCACCATCTTCCAACTTTAGAGCAAGACGAACCCCGTGATTATCAAAGAGCCTTCCACGATCCACTTCACGATCCATCTTTACTTGAACTACCATTGCCCCTACGGCCACGACAGGCCAGGATTCCAGAAGTTCCCCGACTACGGTTCGACAGGCCTTTTTTGTATTTCATAAGACACAATCCCACTGGTTTAATCTTGCATATGGGGCGATTTAATCCCCGATTACTACCATGAGTAGGGTTAGAACGCTAGTTTTGCGAATAATGAAGACTGTAAAAAAATTAATTATAGTATAATTTTGTTTGGGTATTCATTGGGAGTTACTTTAAAGCCCCTGATGCAAGTGTAATGACAGAATTGTATGTTTCATGTAAAAATACTAAGCCTTATCATTTTTTGTTTTGTTCAGTTAATCCTTGAAAAAAATATATGAGGGGTAGTTTTTCACAAGGAATGCCTTGTCTAACAAGATAATTTGTATAGGAAATGAAGCCTTTTTGCCATTATGTATGTCATTTATCTAAATCTATCTTAAATATGTATTTTAAAAATCTAAATTTTCAAAAGTTGTGCATTTTTCAAGGTTCTCCTTGAAAATATTCCTAAGAAAATGACTAGCAATGTAGAAAAATTCAAAAAAAATTATAAATTAAAAAACTCAAGTAAGTTTTATATACATTTTGGCATGGAATTTGGCTGCAAAATCATATCGATTGAAATATTTATTGTAATAAGATAAATTAATAAGGAACTAATTATTTGTTAATATAGTTTAGGATATACCTACTTTTAAGTTCCAACTATGTTATTCTTTTTGTGATTGTGTATACTATAGGCGCCAAATTTCTTAGATTAGTAGCTAAAGCAAAGATGCTAAAGTATTATGTGCAATTAAGGGTAATTTATTTCAAATAAAATTATAGAAATATTTATGTGTTTAATTTGATTTTTTTAAACCTGTATTGGTATTATGCCTATTAAAAGTGTTAAAACAGCTTTGTCTCAAAGAACTGAAGTCACACTAGTTGTAGATCTGAATTCAAACAAAACTGTTGGCAATGTTTAAATAAGTTGAAAATTTAGCACAAAAACTGTACGTTGGTTTAATCAGTTCTTGTTGCGGCTCTAGCAATTATTATTATTCTTGTAGCAGTGACGCGAGTGACCAAAACAAACAATTTATAAAAGTTTCTCGTTCAAAAATGATAGCTATTTTCCTGATTATTGCTCTTCTGAGGTGCAAAAAAAAATTTTCATCATTTACATTATTTCTTTAATTTGAAATCAAACCTAAAGAGATACATAAAGAGAGCAAAATTAACCTGAAAATATTTAAAAGGTAAAGAAACCTTTAATATAGTTCCAAGAAATCTTGTTCTGTATATTCTTCAATATTAAGCATAATCATTAAATTGTAATAGAAAAATTTCCATAATCGGGTATAATAACGACATTCTAAGTAATTTTTTAATTTACTTTTTCTCCTTATCATCGGACTTTTCGTCTTTTTTCTTTTCCTTTAAGTTTCCAACAGCTTGACGAACAGCTTCAGATTGAGGATCAACCCCAGGTAAACTTTCCAGAACACTTTGCAAAAATGTTGGATCATTCATGACAGTTGAATAGTCTTCATCGTCGTCGTTCTCTACTTCCATTGGTTCTTCCTTAGTGGGAATGGATTCTTCTATGATTTATCAAAAGATCAAAAACAATTCTGGGATAACTTTTTTCTTTTTACTTACGTGCATCTTGCATGGACATTTGCATTGCAAAAGCAATTTGCTCGTCTTCAGACATATTGGCAAAATCGACTGGCATTCTAGTGGTGGTAGTAGCAGCAGGAGTAGTAGTGGTGGAAGCTCCCTCTTCCATTGACATGGCTAATGCTTTTTCTAACATAGCTTCATCACTGGGCTCTAGAAAAAAGAACACAATTATAAAACCCATGTGAATTATGAGGTTAATTATCACCTTCTTTTATTGTCTCCGTTTTAGCAGTGGAATCGACTTCACCTGCAGCTTCTCTAGCTCTTCTAGCTTCATCTTCTTGACGCTGGCGTTGTTCTTCCATCGAAACACGCAAAGCCTGAAAAATATATCAATATTATAGGTATTGTATGTTAGTGGAAAACTAGGTGGAAACTTCAAGAATCTACTATTGCTTAAAAATATCTGGTCCATATAGGTCACCAAACACTAATATTTTTAAAAATCGTGTTGACAGAGAATTGAAAGAATACTCAGAGAGAATAATTCATTATGGTGCATAAACTAAATCTCACATATCCTTTTGAAATTTTGTTAAAGTAACAATAGCTTCATCGGTTTCAATCGCCTGCTATTGTAATTCTAATAATGATAAAATAATAGTAATAGATACTCTGTAAATATTTCAATTAAATATATATACAGGGTGTCCAAGATAAGGATGTCTGTCATGGGGATCTCGTAAATGGTAACAGAGACAGCAATGGTTAAATGGGAAAAATGTTGTGCTATTTAATCACTAACAAAATGTATCCAACAAATTAAAAAAAAAATTACAACTTCAAGTGATATATGAAAAAAAAAAAAAAAATCCAAAATTCGGTTTTTCAAGAATATCTTGGGAAGTTGTCAGAATTTTTGAAACTTCTTGCATGCTTATTGTTAGTCAATAAATAGCGCAACTTTTTTCCCATTCGTATGCTTCAAAGCGAGCTGAGAGTCTCATCATTATAACATGATGGACACCCTGTATATATTTTTTTTCAAGCGTGTTTACCAAAGCCAATTCTGGGTCTTCATTGGGATCAACACCAAACTCATAGGTGCCGCCAAGGCCTGCTGCACCAGCTCCATCTTCCCCTTGAATAACGGGGGAAGAAATTAATGCGTCAGATAGATGGGGCCCTGGGGGGACAGTTACTAAGTGGCTGCTGCTGCCATCCTATGAAAATACATTTATAAAATGTTGATAATTTTTTCTATCAACGTTTACCTTTCCATTTATAGTGCTAATAAAAGTAGTGAGCACATCGGAATTATCATCGTCTTCCCCAAAACTAACTATATCCACATTAACTTTTTCCTTTTTCAATTTTTTAGCAAGTTTCACAAGTTCCTTTTCCTCACTAATCACTGGACTTCCAACAAACGCCACAATTCTCATTTTATGGTTCTTGCCTTGACGATGCTTTAATGCCAACTAAAAATAGATTATGTAAATTATAGTATTTCAAATGATAAGATAAGTATTAGTGCCTTACATGAGCAATTCTTATTCCAGTATGCAAATTTATGTCTCCATTTGGTTGGACTTGATGAAGTTTTGATAAAATTCGACCTACATCACTTGTAAGAGTAGCTAGGACTTCAACCCTATAACAATAATGGATAGCAACATTATAATGGATTGACCTTAATAAGTGATAGGCAGGCCATTTTTTTTTAGAGGTACATAATAGAATTTCAAGGGACATACATAAATTCAAACAAAAAAATAAATAAATCAAAATAAAATTTCTTTATCTGTTGTTGTCCAAGTTTACACATTCTTTCAGCCAACTTCACTTTGAGAGGAATAGCCTTAGATAGCTAAAGATAGATTTATTATGATTTATGAAGGAAGATGGTGTGCAGTCCTATATAAACTCTCCCCGCCTTGAAGAACCCAATATTTACTCTGTGCTAGAATTCAAGGCATTTTTAAGTATCTTGCATGTGGTCTAGATACCTTAAAAATGCCCTTATGACAAATGTAACATACATTGCAGAGTTTCATAATATTTCAGTATGTCGCCTATAATGTACACTTTATTTTTTCCCAAGATAGATTTTGGCATTGTCAACTTGGAAACATAAACAATGCCGCTAATTGGCCGCTATTGTAAACTGATGTCAACCTGCAGAAACACCTCATTTTGCGACCAATCAGGGTCAAGCGTTATTGTTTATGTTTCAAAGTTTTCAATGTCAAAATCTATCTTGGCAAAAAATAAAGTGTAGTATAAATGTTGTGAAAATAAAACATGTCACATATTAAGCTGTATACAGTGCCACAATATATGGTACGTGTTAGCTGTTTAGAAACAAATCTATGAGATTTAGAATCCCGAAAGATATTTTGTTGAAAAAATTGTGTGGAGGAATACAGGAAACAAGTAGAAACAGAAAATCGACTTGATAAAGAAACAAAACAATTAGAAACAAAGCGAAACGAACCTTATAAATTTGATATTTCAAACCGGAATAATTATACCCAAGCAACTGAAAATTTCAAGAAACAATCAAACACTAAAATCACGAAATTCAAGCCAGGGTTGTTATTACAGACCAATTAGTGTAATCTCGAACTTTGCCAAACTTTTGATAAAGCATTTAAACAGAACAAAATTTAAAAAAACAAAATGTTAAATACAAAATTTGTAGGATTTTACCTCTATTATCTTTTTCACGTCCAACTGGGCAAATGACAGGTGTCATAATGACAAACACTTGCAATTTTTCAGAGAATTTTTCAAATGGAACACCCTGTATAATTTCGACTAGAATGAATGATTTTTTTCTTCTGATTCCAAATATACCATATTATATTGATATTTGATTCACCTACTGTTTCAATTAAGTTTAAAAATGTATTCACATTAAACTAAATAAAGTCTGTTCCCGGTTCCTTATATCAATGGTGAGGCGCACTTAATGCAATTTTAAACTTAAATAGCGCAAAAACAGGTGAAGCAAATATCAACATATTTGGAATCAGAAGAAAAAATAAATCATTCTAGCCAAAAAAAAATGGTATTCCATCTAATCTAGAAAATGCAAGTGTAATAGAGGTAAAACCCTACAACGTTTATATCTATCTTTTTATTTAATTTCTGTTTAAGTTGTAGACCCTGTACCTTCTAGTGGAGAAAATACAACAAATTTTGAATACAGACAAAAAGTATGGAATAAATGACTTCACTAAATAGTATGTATTACAGGGTCTGTTAGCCTGAGTGCCACAGCACCCAGGGCTTTTTTGTCTCTCATAATTTAGTTAGTTCCAAGGTTAGTTCCGACGCTAGTTCTAAGTAGGTATCTAATGTAAATTTTCATACCTTAGTTCATAATCATAAAGTTGTAAGTTGTTATTGAATATCTTGAAATTTACAATAATTTATAATATGTATAATGTATAACATATTCTTGTTAGGTGTATTCGGAATCTTTCTGAATTATTTAAACATTTTTGAATAAAAAAGCCTATTTAGGAGAAAAGACCCAATATATTCAAATAGGATAATTTCTCGGGTAATTAAGGTTAAATTTGAATGAGCTTGTAGCCCCAGAAAATGTGTAAGAAATCAATGCCCCTTATTGGGCACGTTCCTCCCAGCAGTCCCAGCTCACCCTGCTGACCTAATGTAGGCTTGCACATAGGTACCGGGTGTTTTTTTTTTTATCTTTGATATCATTTTGATCACATGTAACTTTTTTGTTTTTGAAGTTATCAAGGTAAACAAAAAAACAAAATGTAGGGTTAGTAGCCAAGTTTTTTTTCAAGTTACACATAAAACAAAACACTTTCAATCTTTTGACATATAAGCCTACATTATATTTTTTCAAATGGAACACTCTGTATATTATATGTGTGTTCGATAGAATATCTTATTTTAATTACAATGATATAACACACTTCATATTTTGGTCCACTCGTTATATAAGACTTTCGAGGTGAAACTTATTAGGCGGGGGTCTGATATTTGGGATGAGAATTATTGAGAGTGAATATAAAAATTTCATATATTTTTGCCGATTTGTCAAAAACAAGTGGACCAAAATATGAAGTGTGTTATATCATTGTTATCAGAATAAGATATTCTATCGAACACACATATAATATACAGGGTGTTCCATTTAAAAAAATATAATGTAGGCTTATATGTCAAAAAATTGATAGTGTTTTGTTTCATGTGTTACTTGAAAAAAAACTTGGCTAAAGTCCAACAAATACCATTTTAAAGTCACGTGATTTTTCTCTATCCTTGTTGACTACATTTTAAACAGCGGTGATAGAAAAATTGACAAAAAAATTGGTGTTTAATTATTGTTCATAATATTCTTACCTGAAATACAATCCGTCACTGTCATCAATTGGTTTGTCAAAGTTATTTTGGAAAATGATACAACGAACAAACACAGCTAATAATTTTGACTATATTAACCTTTTTCCAACTCGAAAAGAAGCAAATAGGAAACGGGTACCTACCCAATTTGAGTTCAGAATATATCACAATAGACAGCAGATGCGACAAAAGTGAGTCTCACAACAATTGCAAATATTAAAATTCCCATCTGATTGGTCAATACTACTTCAAAAACGCGTTTGTAAAATTCTAGTGGGAACATATCCTAAAATTCAATAGTAATTAACCACCAGTAGCTTTTTGTAGGTGATATCAACGACATAATCAAGAACATGCGTTTTTTTGCCACCAATATCACATGACTTTAAAATGGTATTTGTCGGACTTTATTAATACTATATTTTGTTTCTTTGATGTATATAAAGTTAGCAGTGCAAAGTCAGCAGTGCAAAATTTTTATGACTGGAAAAATTAGTGCTAATTAAGTGCTAATTAAATGCCAAGTTCACAAATTTTGTGCTCTTGTAGTTTCCGAGATATCGCCTGCACTGCTACCTACCTGTTAAAGATAGCAGTGCATCATCCAGGAAAGTGGTAGGGTGATATAAATGATGAAGAAAATTGAATGCTAATTAAATGCTATCATTTTCATTAATAAAATTTCTATTTTCAGCTTTTTTTCGCATATTTTTTTAAAAACAACGTGGTGCACTGCTAGCTTTATGCAGTACACATATTGAGTTTTCATGAAAGAAGGGATTGGAAGAGTTTTCGACATAGGAATAATTTAGTGCTAATTAAGTGCTAATTAAATGCCAAGTTACCAAATTTTGTGCTCTTGTAGTTTCCGCGATATAGCCTGCACTGCTATACCCGTTAAAGATAGCAGTGCACCATCCAGGAAAGTGGTAGCATGATATAAATTATGAAAAAAATTTAATGCTATATAAATGCTACCATTTCCATTAACAATATCTCTATTTTCAGCACATTTTTTAAAAACAACGCGGTGCACTGCTAGCTTTATGCAGTACATATATTGAGTTTTCATGAAAGAAAGGGTTCGTGGAGTTTTCGACATTAGAATAATTTAGTGCTAATTAAGGTCTTATTTAATGCCAAGTTACCAAATTTTGTGATCTTGTTTCTTCCGAGATATGGCCTGCACTGCTAGCTACCTGTTAAAGATAGCAATGCACCATCCAGGAATGATCAAGAAAAGTGGTAGGGTGATATAAATGATGAAGAAAATTAGATGCTAATTCAATGCTACCATTTCCATGAACCCAATTTCTATTTTCAGCTTTTTTTCGAATATTTTTTAAAAACAACGCTGTGCACTGCTAGCTTTATGCAGTACACATATTGAGTTTTCATGAAAGAAGGAATTGGTAGAGTTTTCGACATAGGAATAATTTAGTGCTAATTAAGTGCTGAATAAATGCCAAGTTCACAAATTTTGTGCTCTTGTAGTTTCCGAGATATGGCCTGCACTGCTAGCTACCCGTTTAAGATAGCAGCGCACCATCTAGGAATGATCCAGGAAAGTGGTATGGTGATATAAATTATGAAGAAAATTAAATGCTAATTAAATGCTACCATTTCCATGAACAAAATTTCTATTTTCAGCTTTTTTTTGCATATTTTTTTAAAAACAACGCTGTGCACTGCTAGCTTTAAACTTATACCTTGCATTTTTTGGGACTTACACCTCAATTGAAATTAATACCAGAAGTTTCTTGATTTTGATACGAATTACTACAAGCTCTCTGATGAGAGCAATTTTACCTATCAACGGGTATAGCAGTACAGGCTATATCTCGGAAACTACAAGAGCACAAAATTTGGTAACTTGGCATTTAATTAGCCCTTAATTAGCACTAAATTATTCCTATATCGAAAATTCTTCCAATCCCTTCTTTCATGAGAACTCAATATGTGTCGGTACTGCATAAAGCTAGCAGTGCACCACGTTGTTTTTAAAAAAATATGCGAAAAAAAGCTGAAAATAGAAATTTTGTTCATGGAAATGGTAGCATTTAATTTTTTTCATAATTTACATCACGCTACCACTTTCCTGGATCATTCCTGGATGGTGCACTGCTATCTTTAACGGGTATAGCAGTGCAGGCCATATCTCGGAAACTACAAGAGCACAAAATTTGGTAACTTGGCACTTAATTAACACTAAATTATTCCTATATCGAAAACTCTTCCAATCCCTTCTTTCATGAGAACTCAATATGT